GGAACCAATGCATACTAAGTGCTGTGTCTGTTATTTTTAGAATACTCTCTTACTAGTGATTTCGTTTTAAAGAACACTTTAAAGCGCAAGCGCAGAGAAATTGTTGTCAAGTGTTTTTGTTGATGCTACTTGCAAAGAAAATGAATTTTGTAAATTACTCTGGTTGTGTGACTAGTAGTGATAATGAACATAACAGACATTAATGTATTGTCAGCTAGTACTGGAATGTTTTCTTTGCCGCAGACATTATTGTACCATTTAACTTATTCTTTGTGTTTTGTTGGCAGAGGAAGACAGAACGAGTGAAAATTTCATGTCTATCCTGGAGAAACAGGTTTGTACTAGAAAATATGGAAAAATATGTATCTTATTAACCTAGCAGGAGGTTAGTACTGGAAGAATATCAACCCCACGTGCTCGAGGAAAGAGGTCAATATGGAACAGACTTCAGGGTTGCAAAAAAGATATATTTTTATATACCGGTGCTTAATGTGAACACTAAACTGGTGGTTATATTCCTTTGCTACTGTTTTGGAGTTTTAGCTCCATGCTGTTTTTAACCCAGTATTTAATCTTGTTTTCAGAACCTGGTATTCCTGTTCCCACTGCTTCATATTCAAGCTGATCTTTTCTCCAAGATCGAGGAAGATCCCAGCGTCACTGCAATCTACAAGTGGGTCAAGGTATGAAGACAGAAAATAGATATCATTCAATCTATGATACAAGTTTCAAACTGTGACCTCCAACAAATCAGTCACGACAGACCCTTTAGGACAGAACTACATGAGACATGAGGAGGTTAAACTGTAGACCATATATCAACTTGGCTCAATTGTGGTTCTAGCGGCCATTGGTGTCAGCGGGAGAGAAATTTGTTACTAGTATAATGGCAACGCTATTTTCCCTTTGATTATTTTCGTAGCTCTTAGAAGTACACTGACCTTCAGTTTAACGTTCTTAGTTGATACTGTTTTTACTTGTAGGACAATGTCGACTCTTCCTGGCACACCAATCCAGAGTTTATTAACGTACTCACCACTTGGTAAGTTGAAATCCTTGCTTGAAAAAATGGCGGTCTAACTAAAATTGTTCATTTATGAGGCAAAGTATGAATAGATTAGTAAAACACAAAAAAGCATGTTCAAGTACCCGGAAACTCAGAGGGGTGTAAGAATTTCGACACATTGAAAAAAGTCTTTTTCATACCAAATCACCATTTCATACTAAGTATAATTCCATGGACAAGAACTTGTATTACGATGTAAGAAAGCGACTGTTTGTTCAGGGCTCGTTTTTACCAAGGAATACAACATTTTATTTTTGTCTTCAGCTTGCTGAAGTACGCAACCAAAGACAGTACTCTCGCTGAAGGCGTGGACACATCACAGGCTCCAGAAAAGGACTTGCTAGACAAGGAGAAAGCCACTTTGAAGAAATTACTGCCATTAGTGGAAAAGTTTGTTCACGAGAAAAGTGCCTTGCAAGTGAGTTACTTTATCAGTTTGTCCCCTCCCCCCTCTTCTTCAATCTTTAACCCTTCAATGTTTTGAAAGCTCTTTCCTTCGTTTGATTTCATTTGGTAGGCAATTGTTTCGCTAATTTGCCCACTAAATGTTGGCCCATCATGTAGATTTAATTTGTTTATTTGTTGATCACCTGTATCCTCAATTTTCCGCTTTCTTTCTCCAGGTCAGCGTGTTGTATGCATTGCAAGTGTTTTGCCACAGTCATAACTTTCCTAAAGGTACAGTAAAAGCGAATTATTTTGAGCGATCAGAGCAGAAAAAATAACTGTCACAGAGTTCTTGTGTTCTTGTGATTGCATCATGCACAGAGATTGGATACCCTTCCTGGCTTATAGCCATTCTGTTTTTGCTAGGCATGTTGTTGCGTATGTTTGTGTTGTTGTACGACACAGAAGTTGTGGAAGAAGAAGCGTTTTTGAAGTGGAAAGAAGATGTAAGCGAGAAGCATCCAGGCAAAGGAAAAGCTCTCTTTCAGGTAGGATCAGCCTTTTCTTCGTTCCTGGGTATTTTTTCAGAGCTTAGTAAGCTATCCGAGTGTTTATTTCAACTGAGCTAGAGTTTGACTGACAGTACGCCTGCCCTTACCTATGTAGGTGAACGCATGGCTGACGTGGTTGGAGACCGCTGATGAGGAGGGTACAGACTCAGAAGCCGAGTAACCAGGCCTGCACCACCCCTTAGAGGAAAAGAAAAGTAAAGAAATCTGTCACACGCCCTGTCTAACGCAAATAAGATACTTGAGAGAGAAAGCAGTAAGAAAAAAAAAACCAAAACCAAAAAATTGAAAAACAGTAGAAAAATACAGTAAATAGGGATTTTTAATTATCTCTTTTTCCAGAAGTAATTCGTTTCAGACTCAAGCAACTTGATCTAGTTCATTTCACATGTTACTCATAAAAATACGAGCAGTGTTGCTCTGTTCTGCCTGTTTTGTCATGTTCCCCTTGTCAGTTACCTCTCTAACGTAATTTACCCATGTACATTTCAACGAGGCTACTTTTAAGTGCTAAGCAAAACTCCACCGCGACAAGGCAACGTCTCAAATATGTAGCTGAAGCCTTTTGCACACATGCATTACTGTTACTGGAAAGCAAACCCTTATTAACGCGGCTCCAAAATGTTTAGCTTTAATTTTTTTTTTCAGTTAACTTGCTTGCTATTTGCGTACGATTACAGTACGGCTTAGTGAATTTGAATTTGTTTGTAAATCTCTCTGTAGATTTTTCGACTGTAAATTCTAGTCTCCAGTTTGTTTAGTCAGCCCAGGTAATGACTAACTATTCTACTTGTTCCAAGTGAACACCAAAGGAAAAAAAAACAACAACAAACCTAGCAGAGTTCTGGTAATTCTGATTAAGCGCATTTAGTAGGAATACTCTTATCACAAACCTTAATTCGGCAGTTTTGCGTATATTTTTCTGATCACTAGACTGCTGGCTGCCGGTCGTTTCTCTTAAGGTCCAACGAGAGTTTCTTCGTCAACAAATTTCTGCGCCTGCGGACCCTAACATTCAAAGCTTAACCGACAAATGCGTTTTTCGCTACCGTCAATCAAATGTTCGGTGGCTCCTTCCAGCTTCCGACTACTGTCGAGCGCGCGGTCATCAAATCGTTGAGCACAGTTCAGACAACGAAACAGTGCTCGGCAGTCGTCGGAAGCTGGGAGGAGCCGCCGAACATTTGATTGACGGTAGCGAAAAACGCACTTGTCGGTTGAGCTTTAAATTTTAGAGTCCGTCATTGAAAGGCGCAGTAAAGGAGCGGTGTCTCTAAAGCGTCTAACCTCATACTCCTTGCCTGGTTTCAAGAGAAAAACAAACTGCTAGCAGTCTCTCTGATCATTTAACATGAATACAACGAAGTTGTTTTGTCTCAAATCTTGTGACTGGTGTTTCTTGCGATGACGAGCCAAATGCAAGAATACCTTCCTTTGTAACTGAACGGCTCAAGAAAATCCGGTTAGCCAAACTATTGAAATATTCAATCTAGCGCAGCTGCCATAAACACAGCCTCCTGCGCAGTAGTCTGAGCAGGTTCTAGTGTTTGGTTTTGGCACTCAAGCACTGCTTCCTGGCAGAACGGACGACGAATTTTTCAAGACTCGCCTGCATGCCGACTTGTCTTACGGCTTTGCCATCTCGTGGCTTCACCGCTCGTACCCCCCGGCCCAAACACGAGAGCCTTTTCGCAGGCTATCTGCGCAGCCGTTCTTATGGTTCGTCATGAAGAAAGATAGCATGACGAGCCCAAAGAAAGTCTTCGTAAGAGGCTATCGTAAATATTGTCATTATGTAAATCCTAATGTAACAAGTGAATAAATAAAGTGTTGTAAAACACAAATCCTGGCTCAGGTTTCAGTCTGATGCAATCCCCCGTCAACGATCCTCGCAACTCTTTCCATCTCCGAGGAGAAACATTGTGACGAGAAAGGGTCTTGCTTTATAGCATCGGAGGGGTGGGACCGGCGTGGGGACCGGCGCAAGCATGGTGGAATCCTTGAATCACATACTCTAACAAATTGTGAAAAAGGTTGTTTGTTTGTGTTTACGTTTTTGTTTGCCCTTAGTCTGGCGTTTTTATGGTCATTTCGCTCCATGGAAGTCAGTCCTATCCAACCAAACTTCAAATTCTTCACAAAAGTTAGATCGCTCCGTTTGGCTTGGCAGTGGATGAAAGAACGAGGGACAATCCACACACGCGTTGGAACGAACTGACTTGGAGCAGCTTGGAGCGATCTAACCATGGAGCGAAGTGACCAGATACCCTCTGGCTCCCTAATAATTATTTATCAAGCTCTTTTCTTTCTCACCGCAAAAAAAAAATTTAATAACGTCACGCGACCCGAGCGACCAGAGAAATTTGAAAGACTGGAACCAAGGTAATAGCGTTTACGAGAGAAACTGGGAATAGTGTTTTATATTGCGCAAAAACATGACGGACAAGGATGGATTTGCGAAAAAACAACTCGAAAAGCACGGATGGTGCGAAGGTAAGTACTAAAGTTTTTCTAGATATCTGACTGTCCTAGCAAAGACTCAGAGGTCAAAGAAATGTTTTCCAAATAATAAGTTGAAGGGCCCAAATGCAGAATGATCTGGACCGGAGCTATACACGTGGAACAGTTTGTCGAGAGCTCGAGGATATGTAATCTTTTACAGGCTTTAGATCTTAAGCTTTTCAACCAACTGCTTCTCTGATACTTTGATACATCAGTTACTTTATAAGCTGGAATTCGAAAGCTATTCTACCAAATATCTAAAAGGGATTCCTTTGTTTGTTTGAGACACAGACGGTATACAGGCTGCGCTTCCTGTATATTTGAGACTCTCTCTGGACAGCAACCGGCCGTTTAGTCCCCAAATCGATTAGCCCCTAACCTTTCAAGCCCAACCAGAAGTCGATTAGTCCCCAAAAAGAAGTCGAAAACACTGTCAATTTCTCGTTTTTTGAGCGTGAATAGCGGGGCTAACCGGCTAGGGGCTAAACGACCGGTAACCCTATGAACAAATCTGCCACCTAATCTCGTAAGCTCACCTTATGGAGAACATCACTGTAGATACTGTTTTTGACAGTGTTTGGTTTGAACGCATTTTGTGAGGTGTCAGAACCAACTGTCTGACCTAAACATATGGCCATGGTGCAAATATTCTCAGAAGTTAATCAAAAAAAAAATCTCTGTTGAGGGTGGTTAAGTTTGTTAATCATACCGATATGTGTGAGGATTTTGTCATGGTATGATTTGTGAACTCTTAAGAGAAACAAAAAATTAGTTTGAGATATCAGGAGTTCAAGGGAGCAGGATGTGGGTGACTGAAAAAGTATATTCAAGGGAAAATGATTTGAGTGTGAGATACCAGGTAGTTTAAGAAAATGGATTTTGGGATAATGAGGTTCTACTGTACTTCAAAACTTTATCTCACAGGTAAAGGTTTAGGTAAAGAGGAAAGTGGAATTTCTAAGGCCATCAAAGTCAACATCAAAACTGATACAGCTGGGGTAAGCTTTAAAGTATCCTGTAAGAAGAGACCCTTCATATTACAGTTGAACTTGTCACCAATTAGTGCTAGGAGATTCTGTGACATTGTTAACAAAAACTTCATACCACTATTGCTACCACAGCTACTATCACTGCCACTGCCACTGCCACTGCCACTGCCACTGCCACTGCCACTGCCACTGCCACTGCCACTGCCACTGCCACT